TCATCTACCCCAGCAGATCGTGTCTCTCAGCTAAGAAGGGCACTAATCACGCGTTTCATGCACGCGACTGCTCCAGGCTCCCATAAATTTAAAAATTTCAGCAGACACATACCTCACAAAAGAATTCGTTTCCTCGAAGACCGCAAAACCATGTGATCCAGGAAACTTCTTCCGAGCTGCTCATTTCGGAATCCGTATGGTGCTGCTTTTCCCTTTTCGCTTCACTGAAAAAGAACTACACAGTGAATTAAACCTTCTTCTGATAACTTTCTTAAAAAAACTTTTTTTAAAATCTTTTTCTTCTTTCTTCCATTCCCCTTCCCTCTTTACTCCACTTTTACTCATTCTAATTCCACAATCATATCGTTTTCCCTTTTGTTTCTTCCTGTCCTCTTCCTTTTTTCTGCTCCTTTTCCATTAAGCACTGCGACTGTCATAGTGACAAGGCCTCGTCGCGGTAATGAATTAAGGCGTATATGACTTAATGGGCTGAAACGTCTTATCTTACTCTCACCTCCTCTCATACTGTTCATGCTGTAATCTATCGCGCCTCTGGCATTTAGGTTTCCAGGGTCAACTTGGTTGCTACATTCGGCTTAAACACACCTGGCAATCGCAGAACGAGAAGCATATCGCTCCGAGGCGACTAGCCACAGACGAACTGAGCTTTGCGCTGAACGTAATCTAAGAATTTTGCCGATGACGGTGATCTGGTCCCGGTCACTGTGCTGAACTTGAGCAGCAAGAAACAATCTCCGAATGACAAAACGCACCCTCTAACGCTGTGGAGTCAAATACTTCTTCATCCGCTACTTTCAGACAACACTCAGGCAAAAAATCACCCTCTGTGATCACCTCCTTTGAATGGCACGTTCGACCCAGACAAGCCAGCTAAGCCGCTGCCCCCCGTCCTCGATGGGCAAGCGATTTTGGGCCTGGAGGCAACAGCAAGGCAGGCGATCGCTCACAAACAGAAACGGCAAAAACGACGGAGCTGCGATGCCTTTGCGATGAAATGTTGAGAACGAGCGTACCTTAATTCCAGCGTGCCGAGCTCCTCTGTGATATTTCCGGAGCCGTCTTCGGCCAGCTTCAACAAAATCTTCTTCACAAGCAACTCCGTCTGAAAACCGAACGAAAATGAGCCAGTGAAAGCACGGTGCCTTCCGTGCAGCCAAGCACCGGAAGTCGCCTGGCCGACAGCCCCTCAGTAGTTTGCCGAGAAAGCAAAAGCCAAAAAGCGTTTCCTGCGATGCTAAAATCTCCTTGTTATGTGCAACACTCCCACTGTTACCCCAAATTTGCTACGCTCATAGGCGGATCTGGAGGAAGAGGAGGACGGGATGGGGGACGGTCTGCAGCAGGCACCAATGTTGCAAGAGCCGGATCCAAAGCTAAAACTAAAGCTAAAACTAAAGTAACTGTAAGTAGCAGTGTGTTACAACTCTATTCCTAGTTTTTGCATAGT